CCTCTGCTTTCTCGGGAAGTGGTGTCGCACCAGCAGGGTGGTGTCACACAGGTCCCCCTTCGAGCCCGGGGCTAACCCACGCCTGAGGGCCGGTTTTAGCAGCCTTTCCCCTGCAGGCACCCTGGAGGCAGGTTTGCCTTTGAGAAGGGCTCTTTGGAGGAGGCCATAGGGAAAACTGCAGGGGCTTTGGGGCTGCCCTGGCCACAGATCCCCCTGAGTGGGTTCATGGACACAAGCCCTTGCAGAACTGCAAATGGCTCAGAGGATTGGGAATGACTTTAGGACAGAGCCATGCTGCTGGGGGCCTGCTAGGTCCCCCACTCCAGCATTGCTCTGCCAAGTGCCTCAGTTTCCCTATCTGTAACTGAAGGTTGTGAGACCCACCATGGAGACTTGCCAGTGGCTGCTCATGGAGGACACAACAGGTTGCACAGGATAAATGAACTGGCCTCACATTGTTGTGGAGTGAGACTGGGAAATTATTGCTGGAGAAGGGAAACCCAAGGGAGATCGCTCAGTTAAATATTGCTCTTCTCAGCTTGGGAAGGAGAGGAGCCTTCTGCTTGGATCCTGGGAAGATGCCCAGGGATTAGGAAGCATGTTGGTACGGAGTTGTCTTGCCCATTTTGAAATCCTCAGCCTCAGGTCATGCACTTGCAGGTGTCCTGGGAGAGCTGCCCAGCATGTCTCTGGGCTGCTGGTGGGAATTTCTCTGTCGATGCTGGGGTACTGATGAGCTTCCAGAGTCCTCTAGGGCTACCACAATCCCCCAGGAATGACGCTGGTAATATCAGGTAGCTTGTCTCTCATCGTATCCTGGGTGAAATGGACGGGGAGCTGCCACGATACGTTGCCCACAGAGAACCTGTGTGCTGGGGGGGGGGCACACAGAGGGCACGGGGTGTCCTTGCCGCCCAGGGAACACTCCCGGGGGGCTCTGGGGCTCTGCAGGTGCTGACACTCTCACTTCCCCTCTGCACAAAGGCAACCAGGATTAAATCACCACTGGTAAAATTAGCAGATGACACATGGGTGGGCAGGTGGCAAAACCTGGGCTGGGGAGCAAGGCAGGCTGCTGGAGATGAGCTGGGTCATTGCAGAGCTGGGCACAACCAGTGACCCAAGGCAGCTGTGGCCCTGCACCAGCTGGGGGCTGCTTGGCACCCCTGGGGCCTCTTGCTGCCACCCAGTGCAGGGAGAAGCGATGGGGGCCTAGTGCAGCTGTGGGGCAGGCAGGTGGGTGGCTGCAGGGGTGTCTGCAGGGGTGTCCTGGGAAGAGCCAAAGACCCTGGACAGCCAGGGCTGGGAGGGGGGGATGGCAACCAGCACCTGCTAAATTTAGAGCCTGCTCAGGAAAAAAAAAAATTAAAAAAATTGCAGGCTCCAAATTTAGCCAGTTGCAGCTCCCACTGAGTGCTGCTCCATTGTGCTGCCACTGACAACACTCCTTCAGCCCTGGTGCCCCAAATCAGGCACCTCTCACTGGAGTCCCTGAAGGTGGGGACCCTGTGCCTGGCCAGGAATCGGGGAACCTCAGTGCGTCCCAGGATCAGCCAAGTATTTCATCACCATCTTTATTTGAGGCAAGCCCACGGCAGTCCAGGTGTACATGGCAACATGCGCTACACTACAGACACCATTTCCATGCAGGCAACCACAGCTATGCACACAGCAGGAGGACGGGGCTGGTGCTGGACTGGGGCTCCCACGGGAATGGGGTTCCCCAGCTCTTGGGGTCCCCCAGCACAGCGTTGGCTTGGCGGGGTGCTCGCACGCTGGCAGTGGTGCCTGGGGGGGGGGTGGTGTTTGGGGGCTCCCACTCCATCCTGTGACCTTTGGGGGATGAAGGGCTGAACCGGGAGACACCAAGGGGGATGGGGTGGGGTTCAGAGCCTTAAGTGCCCCTTGGCTGCATGGCGTATTCCTCCCCGGAGATGGAGACAGCTGGGCTGGTGTTCCAGCCCCTGTGGGTCCCCTCCTGGGCTGGAGACCTTTGCACCATTGGACTAAGGAGGTCGTTAGCTGCCAGGGCCGTTGAACCATGGCTTTGGCATGGCAGGAGCAGATAAAAGCAGCATACCCCAGGAGAGGTGGCAGCGACCGTCTCACTGATCATCAGAAGGGGATGTCTCTATCAGAGCCCATCACTCTTGGCAGACCAGTGCTGGTATGTCATCATCCTACTGGCCCAGGGCGGTGGCCCTGGGCTCCCCATGCCCTGCAGGACATGTGTCTGAGTGCTCCCCCTGGCTTTGAGCTCAAACAAGCACTCCTTGCCTCTGGCGCACTGCCAGACCCATAGGTGTGGGCATGGGCACAGCGCCCACTTGCTTTCCCCAGCTCTGCCGCCACCGATGGCAAACCACAGCAGAGAGACACGAGTGCTCCTCTTTGCCCAGAGCCCAGCAAACCATGACTGGGTGCAAGGAGCAGGTCTGCAGTGAAAACTTGCTGATTCCATACAGGCACTTTCTAATCGGAGCCCCAGGATAAAACCCCAGGTCGAGGCCGAGCAGGCAGGGAAATGGAGCCAAACCTGCTCCTATAAATGCTGCTGACCTCATGTGTTGTCATCCCATGGATCAAACCCATCACCCCACCTGCCGGCAAAGCTCTGGAGATGGCTGAAGTTTTTTTCTTTCACCCTCCCCAAGCACAGGGGCTGCAAGGCACAGCTGCTGTTGGGGAAGGGCTGGGGAAATGAAGGCTGCTGGTTCATGGGACCCAGGGGTTACTTGGCCTAGCTTCCATATGTTTTCACCTGGCTACTCATTAACGGCCACCTGGGTGACGAGGAGGAGGATGATGGATTTATGCACTGCGGGTGGAGCATGCCCATGTACGCAAGTCACAGCTCCGGCGAGCTGTGGTGACCTCTGCACCTGCCAGCTGGGCCTGTGCTCACTCCCGCTCGCTCCGTGGCCCAGGGCCCCCTCCTCATGGCTTCTTGGCTGCTGCTGGCACTCTCCTGTGAGTGTGTCCCTGGGCATTGCATTGCCCCCTAGCCCACCCTCGCCCTGCCCAGTGCCAGGGGCAGGAGGAGAGTGAGCTGTGGCAGCCCACTGGAGCCTTCTGCCCTGGCTGAGGTGTACTCGTGGGCTGGAAGCTGGCTGGGGCTCCCCTGGGGTGCCACTGCCTCCTCCCACATCAGCAGGGCCCTACAGCCACTGTCAGAAATGGCCCCAAGCTAAAGCTTGAACAAGCGCACAGTAGCACTGTCCCTGCCGGAGAGGGTGATGAACAGCTCCCTTTCAGCTCACTGTCACTCTGAAACATAATGACGGCAGCACCCTCTGCACTGCCAGGGTGATGGTATACCTGCAGCATGAGGAGGGACCAGGTGCTGGGTCACCAGGGAGGACAGAGTGGCTTGTCCCAGCCAGGGCTCCCTGCCCTGCAACAGGGGCATAGCACGGACAAGCAGCAGTTTTCCTGCCTGCAGCAACATCCATGGGGCACACACTGCTCCCAGCTTGCTCACAGAGGCACAGGGGCCTCCGCCAGACCCGAGGGAGCTGGGAGTGGGGGCTGATTTGGGAGCCGGGTGTCCCCCCATGCAGGGCCACCGCAGGAGGCAGCGGGTGCCTGCAGAAGCAACCAGCAGCCCTTTCCATGGGCTGGTCCTGCCAACTCCTGGCTCCTGGGAGAGCCATGTAGTGGGGCACACATCCAGACCACTGCCTCCTCCGTGCATTCATCCATTTTCTGGTCCCTGTCCCATCCTGGAGAGAAGCTGCATCCTACAGTCTGTCCCCACGTGCCTGGTGGGGGACACATGGGTGATGCCACCGAAACCTGCCAGCGCATCCCAGCCAGGCTCTGGCAGCTGGCTCGGTGAGGAGAAAAGGAGTGGCTGGGCAGCAAGCAGCGGGCACCGGTGCAGGCAGGGGGCTGGCAGCGGCATCTGCAAAGCTCCTTGGCTTTGGGGTGGGTCGGGGGGAGACCTGGCCATGTGGAAACCGAGGTGCAGCAGCTCCCCCCGCTCCCTGCAGCCGTCCAGGAGCATTGGAGGCAGCACCGGATGCCACTGGGAGAGCACAGGCCTGGCAAAGCACACGGGGAGACGTGTAAAAAGGTGGGGGCAGACAATTTCAAGTGAGAAGAGCTTCTGGATGTCTGTCCCCAGGGTCCCCAGCCACTGGCAGAGGCTGGCAGGCTTTAGGAG